TGTTTTTATGTAAATTCTATAGACTAGATAAATGTATATTTGTTTTAGAAAGTCAGTTCATAGGGAGTTTCTGATAGGGTTATGAATAAAGAGTATGGAAGTACTTTTTTTTAAAGCAAATTATAGTTTAAGAAAAAATGATAGATTCTGAAATAGTTTCTGTTGTTACGAAAGTATTAAGCTATGAAAATTGCTAGAGCTACCTTTTTAATCCTGCATGTAATAGAACATACTGGATGCTTTTTGTACCAAAACAAGTCAATTTAACATTTAAAGGGAGAGGTAGCTCTGTATTGCAAATTGAAATGTCATTATAATTGAATGAAATAGCCCTCATGGAGCTATAAAGAACATAGGAAGCCAGTGTTTTAAGCTTTTGTGCAACCTTCAGCTTAAGTGGCTGTCAGATGTTATTACTGTATTACTTAGGATAGTTAAAAAAAAAAAGAATCAATAGTTTTGAAAAATAGCACCTGGAAGATGTTCATATCTGAGGATTTGATTTTTTTAATCTGTTTTTATAGAGATATGTGATGATTTTATATGTCCGAATTTCCTCCTGATGGGAAAATTATCTCCAGATGTCCCATGCCCCCAGTTTGTCCTACATCTATAAACAAGTGTGCGTCTTGATTTATATCTGTAGCAGGTGGCATGTATTTTAAATCCTTTTCTCAAATCTTAGAATATCTTTGTTCTGGCCTTTATCTTTTGTTGACAATTTCAGCAGTCTCTCTGTGTGTTTCCGCCCTCCAGCCTTGCCTGTGTGTGCCCCCACCGCTTACACTCCTCCCCGACCCTCACCGACTCTGCCCCTTTCTCCCATCTTATCTGAGCTCCCCATCCACTCAGTCCTGTTCTCCTGAATTATATGCAGCCTCACACCTTGTGTTGTTAATTGCATCAGTTTTTGTTTAGATTCTTTTCTCTCTTTAAACTGCTTCTCTCCCACTTGTCTACTTAGCAAGCTTATCTTCTATTTCCAGCACCGAGTGCCATGCCGGCATGTGCAGCGTTTAATAAATATTTGGTAAAGGAATGAAATGAATAAATGACTAAATGAAAAAGCAGAGTCTAAACATTATCTTACACATGGCACGGCGGAGATTCAGAAGTCGTTTTAGTGTGCCTTTTGTGAAACGGAACAGGGCTTAGTAATATGTGGTGTTTCCACTCCAGCATGTTCAAGTGCACACACCTGGACATTCTGACTCATTTGACATCTGCATATTGGTTTATGTCTGTTAGTTGTAGTATGTGAGAGATGTTGGTGAACCTTTTTACTTTTTTTTTTTTTTCGAGTAATGGTATTGTGAATGTCTAATCAGCCAAAGACAGCCAGGCATAAACCTGTAGACCGACAGAGTCGGAATTACTGAGTCCATGCAGTGAGGCACTCACATGGGGGAGGCGGGCGTCCTTGCTGAGGCCTGGGACGGAGCTGCCCGTTGCTGAGGGCCAGGAAAGCAGGGATCAGTCTTTGGTTGGTTGCCTTGTCTGAGGCCAGAATAGAAGAAGCTAGGGATTAATTTGGGATTGGGTGTTGTTAGGTGCCACGGGCAGTTTAGCAATTGCGTGTACCCAGTAATCTTTATTCATGGGGTAAAACCTGGCAAAGCCTGTCAGAGGACAACATTGTCCTGGCCAGAAAGCTGTTCTCCTTCAAAGTGGGGTCGCCTGGCATTTCACAGCTGCTGTCAGACCCTGAGGGAAACATGGTTCCCGGTTAACTTTGCAGCTGGCTGTATCTGTGTTGGCCTTCCAGCCCTGTGCCAAAAGGCCTGCTTTTCCTTCCTCATCCTGAGCTGAGTTTTACTCTTTTATTCCCAGTTTTTGCCGGTTCCACGTTTTCGGGTTTGTGTAACGTTTCACGGTTTACATAGTACATTTCAGAGCCATTGTTTCTATTTGATCATCCCAATAGCCCACTTAGAAAGATAGGGAGCAGTTACCGTGTAAAGAAGAAAGATAGGGAGCGATTATTCCCCCCATCCTTTTTTTGTCTTTTCACTTTGGTCCGAGGACCTAGAAATTGGAAAAAGTACCTTTTCAGATTTCTGCCGGGCAGATTCTTTGGCTGTTCCATAAACACCTGATTTCATCTGGTTTAGTATTTGAGTTCATCACCTTAACCCCAAAACATACTTCTCCTTTATTTTTATGATCCAAACCAGAAAGAAACCTTAGGATCTTCTTTTGTCCTTAAGCTTTTTTCTCTCTGTATCCATTCATTGTAAACTCTTTTTCAGTTCTATCCCTAATCTCTCTCGAATTGGTTCACTGTTGGCCATCCAACAGTGATGCTTTAATGTTTGCGTTCCTCGTCCTCACCTGAAATGTTTAACTGGTTTCATTCCCCATCACTCTAGTCCAGCGGTTCTCAACCTTCCTAATGCCGCGACCCCTTAATACAGTTCCTCATGTTGTGGTGACC